AGAGAGAGAGAGAGAGAGAGAGAGAGAGAGATGCTGCTAAATGATTTGGTTCTCTGTCGTTTTTGCAATTAAGAGGTGCTGCATCTATCGCTGTGTATAAAATGCAGTTCATACCTAGTAGTTTTGAGGTGAGAAGCTACAGTAGCGTAACTAGTCGTTATTAGTCGCTAAAATAGACAACATAAAGTAGATAATTTGAATTTTTTTGAAGCTAAGTAAGCATAATTATAAATACTACTCATGGCACTGACAGCTAAAATGAATGCGTACGTCTGAAAAATTTGATTTCAATCGCATATGCATGTAATGGTCTCATCTGTCACTTTATTTCTTAAATAAAAATAAAAAGAAGGGAAATTCGTGGTTCAATCCAGTACTGCCATAAAATAATATTTCCTTGCGTTGCATGCCATTGGGAGCCCTCAATTTCTCACTTAGCTGGAACTCTTAATATTACCATCTGATTCACATTAACAGGTAAATATGAGCATTGCCATACTTCCAATGTCAGCAGAGAACAACTGGAACCCCAGCACTGTTGGCCTAATACAGTCTTCTTTCTTCTGGGGATACTTGCTCACTCAGGTAAGTTAAACTTGACAAGCATAAGTTTCATTAGTACTGGGCATATACAAATGTGGAATAAAAGTTCATGACTCTGAATCTTACACACCGGTTGTAGATTGCTGGGGGAATATGGGCAGACACGGTTGGGGGGAAGCAGGTACTAGGATTTGGCGTAGTTTGGTGGTCCATTGCCACTGCCCTCACTCCTGTGGCCGCAAAACTTGGATTGCCCTTCTTACTAGTTGTTCGGGCTTTCATGGGGATTGGTGAGGTGGGTTTTGTTAATCAATAAAAGGGAAATTTTTTTTCACTGTAATTTATGATGCCGCTGCTTCTAGGAGTGATTTTGACATATGCAAGTGGAGTTCACTTCATTTGGCCTGATTGCTGTTTTAGGGTGTAGCAATGCCAGCCATGAATAATATTCTATCAAAATGGGTTCCTGTAGCAGAGAGAAGTAGGTCATTAGCACTGGTCTACAGTGGCATGTATCTTGGATCAGTCACTGGACTCGCCTGTTCACCCTTCCTAATTCATCAGTTTGGATGGCCATCTGTATTTTACTCCTTTGGTTCTTTAGGGACGATCTGGTTTTCTGTTTGGCTTAGTAAGGTAAGATTAGCACGCTCCAAATTATTTATTTTTCAGTATCTCTTCCTTTCTGGATTTGAATTGCCTAAGCAAGTGTCTTCTTAAGGATACTTTTGTCACTAAATTGCTTCTTCTTGACTACTATCTATCTACAAAATCTTTTAGTTTATTAGAAGTTTGCCTGATCCTAGCGGCATTTTTTTTTTTAAACTTGCTCATGTGTTTATCTTATCTGTTCTTCTGGGAGCTGATGTTGTAGGCACACAGTTCACCTCTTGATGATCCCGAATTGCGGGATGAGGAAAAGAAGTTGATTACCACAAACTGCGTTTCCAAGGAACCTGTGAAAACTATTCCTTGGAGATTGATTTTGTCTAAGGCACCTGTTTGGGCTCTGATAGTGTCTCATTTTTGTCACAACTGGGGAACATTTATTCTTCTTACTTGGATGCCAACATATTACAACCAAGTATGTCTTCCTGTTGATCTGGCATTCTTCATTATGGTCTTGCCAAGCGTCAACTCTATGAATTCCTAATACTATATCCTGATGTAGAATGTCCATGGCAACTTGGAAGTAAATGTCAACATTTAATTTAATAGAAGGGTTATTTACTTTTGTAATTATAGGTCCTGAAGTTCAATCTTACAGAATCTGGCCTATTCTGTGTCTTACCATGGTTTACAATGGCTCTTTCTGCAAATTTTGGTGGTTGGATTGCAGACACTCTTGTAAGCAGGGGTTTATCAGTTACAAGGGTTCGTAAGGTATCAGTTACAAGCATTCTTGAATTCACATCTAATGTACCTGTCAATCTTAACATTGAGAGATAAAATATATATATATATATATATATATTTTTAACATCTTTTGTTTTCTCTCTTTTATATTCAAACGAAATCTATCTATCATCAACCTTTGTCACATCTTTTTCTACAAATTTTCTCTGTTAAGACTATTGTAGCTAACTTCAACACGTTTTATGCAATAATCAGAGAGAAACTCATTTGACTTCGTTATCCTATGGCAACTTAGCTTTCTGTTGATGGGCGCTCTATAAAATTTAAGTTCTACAGGGTTCTGATAGTGTACTGTTATTTCTTCGTTTACAGATAATGCAAACAGTTGGCTTTCTTGGCCCAGCATTCTTTTTAACTCAGTTGAGCCACATAAATTCTCCTGCAATGGCTGTTTTGTGCATGACATGCAGTCAGGTTTGGATCTTGATATGTACTAATATTTATGTATCTTCTGTTAGTGACTTCTAAAATGCTTATTGTATTTGTGTGAATCCATTGTGTCTGGATAAAGAATCTTAGTTTCTCACATTTAAGTATCAATCAAGTAATTTTATCGTGGTTTCTAGTTCATAATGCATGAACATGTGAGTCTGACTGCTTTGCAAAGTAATGATATATTTTCCTTTTCTTTTTCCTTTTTTTCAATATTTTCTTTATGATTAAACTACGGTGAAAAACTTTAGGGGAACTAGATAGGATTGGTTTGACTGTTTAAACTTTGAGATTCAACAGTACTAATTTGGTACATATTCTATCTAAATAGGGAACCGATGCATTCTCTCAGTCTGGTCTGTATTCCAATCATCAAGATATAGCCCCACGATATTCAGTAAGTATATTCATTATCCCTAGATATTTGTGCAGCGTGTAATTTTTTTTATATTTGATCATATTACTTTATAAGGAGAAAAGCCAAATTTTGTACTTATTTCATAATTGTCTTCTCAGGGCGTATTGCTTGGTTTATCTAATACTGCTGGAGTATTGGCTGGTGTTCTTGGAACGGCAGCAACAGGTTACATTCTACAGCATGGTAAGTAATTGTTCCTTATCCTATCTGCATCCTGAAGAAACTCCAATCATTTTAATCTCGGTGCTTTGACATGAATCACACGGTGGCCGGCAACTAATACTTTATTTCTGGATTATTGTTATTTATATTTTAGGGGCTAACATTGACAAGTATGCTAAGTTATAATTTAGACTAAAACAATAAACATGAGAGCATGTCAAGCATGTATGCTTTTTAGTAACTTGTGTCTGACATGTTTTATGATCAACTTGGTGTACTAGTCTTGTATATTAGATTGGATTCAGGTTATAATATCTGAAACGTGTTTTACCTCATTTATCATGTCAGTAATATCATTGTTAATAACGTGGTTCAAGAACAGTTAACCAAGTTCAGTAGAGATGAGGTGGTTATGTTGTACAGGCTAGCATGACTTTAGTCTGATGAAAACATGTAGTTCTGGCTTGTTTACAGCAAATCTAATTGCCTACATATTCAGATAGCAGATCGGTCCCAAGTCCTCCAAGCTTGAGTCATTGTGGTCAATGATTAATCAAAAATTGATGTTTGAGGGCAAAAGAATCTGACTTCACATTAATGTTTGAGCTCTTGAAATTTTATCAGGTTCATGGTCTGACGTATTCAAGGTTTCAGTGGGGCTGTACTTAGTTGGAACCGTGGTGTGGAACCTTTTTTCTACAGGTGAAAAGATCTTGGATTAACTTGAAGACAGATAATTGCCACGCGGCTTGTAGAGATGTATGTGATCGTTAAAGGGGAAGTGCCAACACTTGATATGCCTGAGCACCTGACCAATATATAGATCCAAATTCGTTACATTTACAAAAATGATTGTATATAATGCCTTCATGATGAGAGGGAGGGAGGCCGGATGGGCAATATGTGCATGGCATGAAAAGAGGATGAGTTTTTTTTTTTTTTTTGTTTTTTGCATGTCGCTTTGATTGCAAAGGTGATTGTGATTCAATTTACAACTAAAATATTGAGAAAACCCATATTTATTATTTATGGATCATGAATAATGTAGATTATATATGATTCTATAATTTTCTTTATTGATGAGTTTGTTTTCTAAATAATGGAGGTTAATAGAATATAATTTGTAGAAAAGTTGATTTCATTAATATTTAACTTTCAATGTTGATAAAATGGTCCCCTCTCTTTAAACTTTTTATTACATTTTATTTTGAGTTATTCTATTTCCCTAAACTCTTAAACATATCCCTCATGTTTAGCCCAACTCCTTCTTTTTTAACAAAAACAAAACTTACTGAACACTTTTAATTTTTGAAAATGTTTAAATGATTTCAAAGTAAAACGATACCTTTATTGAGTTTTGGGCTGAGCCTGCAAGTCAGATATATTGGGCTCAGGCCCAAGCCATATTTTTTGTTTTTAGCAGAAAGAAAGAGAAAGAACCTATAAGCTGTAACTGATGTTATCAAACCTATCTGGTGGGAAACCGAAAGTAATTGGCAGAAATAAAAGTGACCTTTAAACGTTAGTTTGGTTCATAAGATCATCAGTTGCTTTCAATGAATGAATTCGTTAGCGAGAGGATTTCCTGAAAAGACGCTACACCTTAATATATACCCTCCGATCTTTTTTTATAAATAATTTTTATCAATTTTATTAATATTAATGTAAAAAAAATATAAGTGTTTAAAATTTTAAATATGTTTCTATATAATAAATTTAAAAAATAATATCATGTTATTTTTTTCTTTCCAATGTAAAGTAATTTTAAAAATATTTTTCAGATATTACTTAAAGAATCGTACTATAATTTATAAATAGGATTAAGTAAATCTTTTAAAATATGTTTTATGAATGAGATTGGAGGAACTACATGCTTTTAACATGTATCCTTATCAATTTCGGTTCAATGTTGTCAAAGTCGCCTATCACGTTGCTCTCAATGTAAACATCAATTAGACCCCCATCAACTTAAAAAGAAAAAAAATTAAGACTTCATAGGAAGAAGAAAAATATAAAAACAAAAAAATCAGAACTTAAAAGTTATATCATCATATAATTTCTAAAATATGGTCCAATATGGCTGATCACGTGACATTGGATTCTCTTGCACAAGATCTGTTTGAAGTAGAAGCTGAAGCCTGAAATTTTTCACAAAGCTCTCTACGCTCACAACACTGCATTACTCTAACAATAACAACAACCAACTACACAAAAAGCAGTCGTTGCCTTTAGCTCTCGTGATCATCATCAACTACACAAACAAATCAACAGACAAACAAAAGTAGATTAATACTATTTTTTTACACAATGCTTGTTTTTTTTTAAAAAAAAAATATATATATATATATCAAGTCAAGAAATTTCAAAGTGTCAATACCACCATACGATCAAAATCACAAGCCACTGACACTGTTGATCACACGCTATACACAATCACAAAGCATGGGAGCACAGCTCTAGGATTGAACACCAGCAGCTCTTCTTCATCCAGCCGGGTGTAAACTCCGGTTCCGCCACGCGCCATCACAGAGTCAAAACCTCCGTCCTCTTTGTCGGCCTCGTCCGAATCAGTGCCGATCCGACCTGCGATAACCCGGCATACCAGCATGGCCCGCTTCACGTTCATGAACTTGAACTCCTCCTCCACCTCCTCCGGGATGGACACATGCGCCCTCCAGCTCGTCGATAGCGTGGAGATTCCGTCCAGTTTGGGTGAGAACCCCGACTTGATGATCCCGCAGATATTACAATATTGCTGGCCACAAATGCCGGAATTCCCGTTGAGTCCCAAGTCGCAGAGGAATGTAGAACAGTGGAATCGCATGAGCTCGTTGCCATCGGCTATGCATCGCTCGTCGCCCTTCTTTACTGCGCCGTTTCGGGAGGCCTTGGCCTTCACCGTCTCTCTGTATTCTTCGAACTTGGAGAGGATCTTCGGGCTGTTATGGATCTTTAGGATCCGACTTATTCTGGGGCATTTCTGCGTGTTGGTCCAACCCGACTTGAAAATTATCCGTACTATGTTGTGACCAGCGTCAGTCTCCGCCAGCTCCGACACGACGTGTTTGAGCGATTGATGCTGCTCGAGAACTTGTGGTTTCTGGAAAACCTCGCCGCAGGCGGTGCAGGGGAAGATGTCATTGCGGAGAGGGAAAAAGTGGTTGTTGTCGGCGGCGATATCGGATTCTGGACATGACCCCGATGATTTTTTGCCGGGAGGATCCAGCACATGCGATTCGGCTTGCGCCAGAGAGACTAAAGACTGCTGGGACGAAATAGCGGTGGAGGCGGAGGATTGCGGCGATCCCTGAGCAACGTCACTGGTTTTGCAGGATTTTGGGGAGAAAAGGTGCTTGATGAAGGTCCAAGAAGAAGAAAGAGCCTTACGTGTTTTGAACTTAGGATGAGGAGGAGAAGGTTGCTGCGAGTGGGAAACAGGGGAAACCTTGCGCTTCTTTGACGGCGACTTTCGGGCACCTTGCTGTCTCCCTTCACCGCCGGAGCCGGCGGCGGTGGAGAAAATGAAGCAGCCAAGGTGTAGAAAGAGGATGAAAAGAGAGAGGAACTTGGCCAAGAAACCAGCAAAGGTTGCCATAAGTTACGCAAGAAGAACCTTGACTGCTAGTGGGCTTGGTAGCTACGCCATGAGGAAAAAGGGAGAGAGAAGGGAGAGAGAAGGGATCATGGGCAGGTCGAAAGAAAGAGGAGAATGATGAAGACAGCGTGAAGAGAGGGAAAAAGAGGAGAGGAAAAGAAAGGAAAAAGGAAAAGATTGATGCGTTATGTGAGAGAGGGGGGGGGGGGAGAATGTAGGGACTATGGAGGGCGCAAGAAGAAGAATAAAGGTGAAGAAGAGTCGGTGGAACGCAACTTCGCTGCTGATTGATAGCACAGTGAGTGGTGCAGTAATCAATCCATTTGTTTATTTAGGAGACAACTATATTGCATATCAATCTTTTTCTTTCTTTCTTTTTTTGTTTTTGTTTTTGTGGAGTGACGCAGTAGTAAATCAATTCGGGGATTATAATATAAAATAAAAAGAGGCGAGAGAGAGAGAGAGACGGCCTGGGCTGATGATATCAGCTTTAACCGAAAGTAACGGTCTGTCAATCTCTCTCCGAGTCTCTCAATTCCTTTCTTCTTTCATTTTCCCTTCAATCCAGGCAACAAATCGATTCTCTAGCTCCTAATTATCAACACGATATTAAACAATTATGATAATCCAAGATTTCTTCTTCTTCTTCTTCACTCGTTGAGGTGGCAATGAGAAGAAATAAATTGCGCAGAATCTATTTGATACTCGGCTCTTCTTTTATTTGGCCAAAAAAAAAACCTTCGATATAATAATTTCTAAATATTAGGTGGTTTGATACCAAACAAAATACAGATAATCGGTATAATTAAAATTAAATATTAAAATTTTATATAAAAAATTGTAAATGTGATATCTTATTCCCATCAATATAATCTAACAAAGTAAGTAGTATATACATTGTCTTGATGGATTCAATAATTATAGTGGTAAACAAGTACAAATCAAATTGCTTTTGTTTACAACATAAAACAATAAGCACCATTATCTTTCATTTTCAAAAAATATATACATATATATAAAAAAACCTCCACTCAAGTTTATGTGAGCATAAAAACTCTCATTTTTTTAAGCAAATAACCATGTTATGCTAATCTCTCTTATCAATAAAGAAAATATAGTTATTAAGAAAGAGTGATATGCGAACAAAAGTTAGTCTAAGTGACAAGAAGTTACCCTATGTAAATATAGTTAATCTTGGGTTGACCCTATTATTAATATAATGACTTTATTTATAAATAATTTATAAATATTTTTATAAATATTTTTTGAATTTAGAAGTATTCCTCACTTTAGTAAGTTGTTATGTTCAACTCATCTGAACTTTTATTCATGAAAAAAAGGAAGAAAGAAATAAATAAAAGGGATGTCATACATTGGATGCCAGGTAAATGACAACAGATCATATATACTTGAGCACATGAAGATCATTAGAAGCTGCATAAGATTTTGATCCAAGAAATGCATGCATGCATGCTTCGACTTCAGAATCTTTGATATCAGTAATAGAAAAATTCTGGGCTTCATGTTATTTCTAAGACATGGCAGGCACGTGGCAAACCCACCTGCTTCACTTCCCGATCAATCGCTACATTTATCCTGGATTTATCTCTATAATTAGTTGCCATCTCACATAAAAACAATATAATTCACTGCCAGAGCTGTATAGAAGCTGCAATAATTCATGTGAAAATCCTTTTCTCAAGGAGAATCCTAAGCCAACACTTGAGTTTGTCTAGTGTTTTTATAATTGTTCTTTCTCGAGATTCGATCAGTACACCCCCACACATGACTTTGTCTCTCTCGCTAATAAAGCATTTTTCTGATTCTAAGTCTTTTAATTAAGGTTATACATATATAGGAGGAGTACGCACGTAACCACGAAGATTAGTGGAGACGTTTTTTGGTGAATTAATTACAGTTCATATGGAGACAGAGACACTAAAACTGTGAAACAGATGAATCTTTAACATTGAGATTTGCACTGTGCAGTGTCCTTGGCTCGCAGACAAATGTTCCGGTGCTTGGAGGGCCATGCAGCACATGTATAAGAGTCGACATAGGAACTTTTGGCCTTTAGTGCAACACAACTTCCATCGGGGAACGGAATTTTTCTTTCTTCTCTTTCGTGTTCTTGTTGTATCCTAACTAGATCAATTAATTTATTCGTGGTCAATTTTAATTTCCCTATGTGTAGTTAGACAAAAATTGTTAGTTTTCCAATTAATGCATGGGATATTTGTGATTCTTCTAATAGTCCTTGATATCTGTATTTTGGTATTTTTAAATTAATGCTTCAGAGTGATACTCAAAATGTTTTGAATGTGTTTTTAAACATGCACGAGAAATTTCATAGCTAGATTGCAATATGTAAAATCGCATGATTTGTGAAGAATTTATGAATCAAGGAAATCAAGGCAAACGGGCTGGGTGGCTGCCTTAGAATGCGAACTGATATGCAGCATTTTGAGGTTGGAACTTTCAATCTTGACAATGAGTCTCTGTTTTTGAGGTTCTTGTATCCGTTTTCATTCACGTCACCAAATTTTTTTAATATAATCTGTTATATATATATATATATATATATTTTTTTTTTTTTTGCCGACATATTTCCGTGCTCTTGAAAGCACATCAATTTCTTAGGTAATTGATTTGACTCAACGGAATTCCCGAGAAGTAAAACTCTCATATTCTGGAAATTACTATTGATTTGCGTTAATGGATATACACTCCCAATACATCAATAACATAGGATATTGATAACACAACTTTAAAAAATTGGTTAAAATTAACTCTCATTTTTTAAATTTACATCTTTTTAATCTTAACTTTATTAAATTCCTTATATATAAGTGTCTCATTAATAAAATTTAAAATTTCAATGAACTACATATTATTTTAAAAAGAATTATAAATGAAACAGAAAATACGCTTGAAAAAATTATAAAAAAGAGCATATGTACTTGCTAAGTTTGCTCAAAATATGAACGAATAAAGTTGCATCTTTAGCCACCTTCTACTTTATTCATAAAGTCGGAGGGGGAGGGAGCAGTTTGCATTTTCTCTAAAATAAAAAAGAAGTTTGCATTTTGATGTAACCTCTGTTTAATTGATCCGTTGAGTTATTGTATCACTTCTATTTTAAAAAAAATTATAAAAACTGCCTCATGTTTTATATTACGAACAAGAAAGAAAGAGTAGTATATTGGATAGAAGTCTTGCATTGTGAATTCAAATTAAATCAAATCATAATTTTAAATTGAGTAATGTGTAATCAGACTTAAAATAAGGTGTAAATATTGGGTGGAAATTAAGGGGAAGATGGAGTTGCCACACATATCGTACAAGAAATCCAGCAATAACATTTATCGTGCCACACAAGCAATTATTTGTAATTTAATTGGAAATTTTCCCTCTCTACAAGTCATGAAATGTTAATTGGAAATTTTCCCTCTCTACAAGTCATGAAATGTTAGCAGCGTGTATCCATGCTTGGGATGATGAATGATGAACACAAAGGCCACGAACAGGCAGTGGCGGCAACGTGGGACGAATATATTATCATCCGCAATAGTAGTCTTGTCTCCGATGTGGGCCCTCATTATCTGCATCTAATCTTTTTTGCTTAGCAACTCTTCCCTGTATATATATTCACTTCAAGACTTTCATCGAAGCATCTTCAGCATTTCCCTCCATTAGTGTCTTCCCATTAATACAATGGCTGCGCTATCACTGTTATCTGATTCAATCGTATCTCAATCTGTAAACATAAAAAAGAGATGAAAACAAAATATTATAATAAATTACCAGAAAATAACTTATTATTGTCTAGTACTAATTATAAGGTGACCTTTCACCCCTCCGAGAAAAATATAGTAACCTATAAATTCTCAGAAAAATATATGCTCCGTTGCATCGTAAATGTGGCGCAGATTGCGAAAGTTACGCAAGTCAGTCACTTGTCAGGAAAAAAAATGTGTGTTAATTTTTTTAAAATACATGTTTTGTACTCACTTAATTTGCATTAGAATATTGTCAACATGCGTCTTATACGTCATATAATCTAACTATAAAAATGGTTTTAGAAAAATAATTATAAACATGAGAAACAAATGAGATTGATGCCTTATATTTAGGATCAAAGCAAAAGCTCACAGCTAGCTCATATGCTTAAGACCAAAAATATGGTATAGCTTACTATACTTGCTAAGTCATAAACAGAATTGAACTAGTCAACCTTGAGTAAAGTGACTGAGATTACATGGAGTTAATAATTAATTAATAGTGTGGTTTTATTGACGAGGCGGGGCAGGAAAAATATTAAAGTTTTGAGTAGGGTGTTGATTCTTGAAGATGAAGGAATGAAAGAAAGATGGAGAGGACGACGTAGTTAAAGAAAGCTTTATGTTGGGGTCGGACCCCTAAATGGAAGCAATTAGGCTTTCAAGCTTTTCTTCTTTTTCCACGCAAAGCCGCCGACACTGTTTTACAATGCTCTTTAAGGTATATGATGCTGCCACCCACTATTTTTTCAACAACATTTACGTTATATATGTGACTTTGGAGTCTACTCTCTCTCTCTCTCTCTCTCTCTCTCTCTCTCTCTCTCTCTCTCTCTCTCTCTCTCTCTCTCTCTATATATATATATATATATATAACTGCAATATTTTTTAAAAGTAATAGTTTAACCAAGTTTCATACATTTTTATTTTTAAACTAGGAACCGCGTTAATATTTTAGAATATGAGTTTTGTTTTTATCAATTGAACTTATATTTATTTTTTTAATATAACTAGCTATCTAATTGGGTTAGATTGGAATATTGTGGAACGCCTGTGGTTGAATTGATAGTTATTATTGGCCCTAATTTATTTATTTTTCTTGCAAGAATAGGGAGCATAATTTGAACATATATATATATATATATATATCCATCAGGAGATAAAAACTAACTAATTATCGTCTCACAATAATAATTAGTGTAAATTCAATGATTGCAAGAAGGTATATAATTGCATGAAAAGGCAACAAGTTGTTCATACATGAGAGGAAGCTATAAGTCAAAGGAAGCATCATAGCGTGGAAGGGTGTGGCGTTAATAGGCGTTAACTAGAAGAAGATGTGACTCTTTAAACACAAGATCTTGGATTTAAATTATATGAATGCAAATTATATTTTTAGAAAAGCTATATCTCATATGACAT